TCACTTTGTCGGTGCGTCCGAATATTCGGAGCCCTATTTAAAATGCATTGAATAGGAAGGGAATTTCCAACAATGGCGACCTGGACACAGTTGAGTGGGCATCTCTTTCTCTCTCCTCACCCCCAGGATCCATTGCCGCTCCGCACAATGCCCCCCTTTCACCCCCGCCTCTGTTCCCATACACCACGTGGAGGAGGGATGGAGTGAAAAGCCATTTTTAATTAGATGTATCAAAAACAAGCAGCCGTCCTGCACCGTATCTCACATAAGGCCAAGGTGTCCACTAACCATAAGGCAGGGTTTTTCTTATACATGAGTGTATTTGTTCATGCAGGCTTATTTACAACAATAAAGTATAATTTAAGATAAAAATGATTAAAAGTCACTAATATTATACTGTACATTTAAGGCAAAACAATAATTTAAAAAAGAAAGAGACAGTTAGCATAGAACCATATCATGGCTCACATGCATTTGCATTGCTTCAGTTTTCTACTTGTTAATTTGTTGTATACAGCAGCCTACTCATCAGTGTTGCCAGATTGGAATGGTTTACTAAAGCAATAAAGAAGCCGTGGTTTACAGTGAATTTATAACAGCTAAGGGGTGTTGTAAATTCACTGTAAACCACGGCTTCACGGGGCTTATTCGTTTTATAAAACGGTTATTCCATATATGTATTAAAGTTTCACAAAATAAAACAGAGCAAATAAAGTGTAATGATATAATAAAAACAGTATTCTTCCACCAAACAATGTAGTTCCTCAGAATCAGTTGTGGTTGCAATAAAGTGGTTGCCAAGCAACACACAAAATAAACAAAGGTGTATGTTTGTAGAGTAATTACCACAGCTTCGAACGTGGCTCAACCAATCAGCCAATCAGAATCAAGGACCGGAACTATCCGTTTTGTACTTGTACAACTAAAATAGCTTCTCATTCAATCAAATCAGCCTTGATTGACTTGCATTATTTACTGCTGTTCGCCATTTTCCAAATTCGTGTTTGCTCATAGTTTTGGGTAGTAGCTAGTCGATCTAAACAACGCCAAAATGGATATATATAAGAAAAACAGAGAAGAAAGGAAAAGAAAAGAAGAAAAATGTCAAGACTTACCTTTTTCATGTCCAGATGATGCATTCAACACTATGGAGAAATGCTGCATCTGTGAGTTTCTCGTCTGAGAAGGCCATTGATGTATTTTGACCAATGTTTCCAGGAAACACTCAATGTGATCACTTCCCACATATTTAATGCTATTTGAACAATCATTGGGCTAAAAAAAATATTAAAATAAGAATTAAAAAACAAACAAAAAACACTATAGTTCAAAATGTTTGGGTTAGTAAGATCAGTAATAGCTACTTCATGGATGCATTACATTGATCACATAGTGATAGTAAAGACTTTTACATTGTTACACATTCTATCTACAATAAATGTTTATTTTAACTTTCTAAGTAAAAGTTGGTAATGTAATGGTAATATGGCTTTTGAAAATTCAGCTTTGCCATCATATGAAAATTAGATTATACATTTTAATAATAATTATTATTATTATTCTTAAAGCACTTTTCAAATAATGCAGTCTTAGAGACTTCTTTTATTTTAAAAACATTATTTCGAATAGTGTGTAACATATAAGCAACAAAGATAACTTGATTTATTTGAAGAGGAATGAAGAGACCCTACTTACACTTTTTTTCTCCTTTTTTTCACCCTGCTCCTTTCTTTTTTCCCCTTTTCGTTTCTTTCTCGGAATATATGTAATTTTATTGGTACTTTGCATCTGTTTTTTATGATATGTGCCTTGCTTAATATTTGTTTATTTACATTTATCAGTGCGATTGTATAGTATATGTATATTCTGTTCAATAAAAGACAAGAAAACATATAGGCAACCTATTATCATGAAATGTGTTTCCTGTTTCCTTAGACCAAACCACCACATATTTTGGTAAGTGCAACGTAGCCTACTTGACCAGTGAACGTCAATTTTTTTTCTTATTCGTCTTCCTCTGAGTACGTAAACATTATTTATGACTGTTTTACAGAATGTTTGTCCCGAGGAACAAAAGTGTTATTTAAAGTGCATCATGGCGCCTATTTGAGTTCGCTCAGTCAGCAGCCAATCAGATGAGGCCAGTCAAAACCCGCGAGGCGCTCTACACTCTTAAAAATAAAGGTGCTTCAAAAGGTTCTTCAAGCGATGCCATAGCAGAAGTTTTTGCAGGTTTCGTCCTCCATAGATTTAGGATTCGAACAGAACTAAGAAAGTTTGGGAATACGTTACTTTTCCCGCGCTGCTAGCTTACGCCTAAAGCGCACACATAGCCTAACCGTTTATCGTCAGACTCAGCTTAACCAGTAAAACTATATACATATAGAAATATAATACTTAAAATTTCTGTTTCCTTCCATAAGATCCGCCATGTCTGCATCTAAATTCACCCTGCTGTGTAATTCGCATAAATGCCGGGCAAAGCTGAGTGGGTTCGTGTGGGTCACGGCCTGCTCTCACGTATACTGTGATCAACACGGTTCAGAGGAGTTCAGCCGCACTCCTGCCATCTGCCCCGCCTGCTCCTCCATGCTCTCGGGCAAACTGGACGTCTTTAGAACCGAGCTGGCACCATCAGAGCAATACAAGGCTATGGTTTTGGTCGGACTACAGCCTGAAACGGTTTTGGAAATCAGTCATAAAGCGCTAGACTTCTGGACCTATCAGGTTTGATGTCTGCAGAAACTGAGAGAGGTTGGGATTAATGCACCTTCCTTCAAATGTTTACTTTTGTTTGTGGTTATATCAGGTAAATCAGGAGAGGATGCTGATGGAGTACAATCTGTCCAGGGCTGGAGGACAAGTGCTTCAGATGGAGAAGTGTATGATCCAGCAGAGCCAGAGCAAAGAGCTGGAGTTAAATGCATTAAGAGGAGAGATTGCATCACTGAAAAAGGTCCCAAATATGATCATGCCATCAAACCAATGCCCACTCTCACTGTTTATACACAGTAACAGTCAAAATAACAAAATAAATAAAAAACTAACTAATAAATAAAAAAAATTGAATAATGTAAATGCTATCAAAACTTTTGAAATGGCAATAAAAAAAAATTGAATAAGGACCATTTTTATGACCAAAAATGTTAACCATATAAAAATATTTTTGGTCTTTCAGAAAACCACCACTTATCCATTTCAACAAGTGGATGCATTAAATTGACCAAGTGACCATAGTGATTTTTATACGGTTATAAAAATGCATTAAAGGGGTCATATGATGCGATTTCATTTTTTCCTTTCTCTTTAGAGTGTTACAAGCTCTTGGTGCATAAAGAAGATCTGTAAAGTTGCAAAGGTAAATTCTGTTCTCTTTATCTCTCGATTCATAAAAAAAAAGCACTTCAAATGTATAATGGTTTGCACACAATATTAAGCAGCACAACTGTTTTAAACATTGATAATAATAAATGCTACCATTTGTTATTACATTACAAACTTCGCCAGCACAGGAATACATGTTTTTAAATATATTTTAAAAAAAGAAAAACTAAATTAAATTTAAATGTTAATAGTGTTTCACAATTTCACTGTATCAATAAAAAAATGTTTTGTGGTTACACAAGTTGGAGTGCCTTTAACTCACAATGTAAAGTTTTAAGACCACAAGAAACTTTTAATCAAGTGTGTCCAAGTACTTTATATATATATATATATATATATATAGAAGCATGAGATGGATGCTTTTTTTGTATTTCTTAAACAACAATCATCAGTGTCCTCACTTTCAATTTTTACATTCTTCAGGTGCTGGAGGAATATAAGCGGAAGTACAATGAGGTTTTGGAGCGACTGAATGAACGAAATAGGCAATATCAGAAGCTGCAGGGACTTCTCGACTCACTACGGATGCACACGCTGGGAACGGGAGAGAAAGATCCCATTTCCCACCCTTTCACTACAGGTCAGGGGGAAAAAAGCAATGGGTAGAAACAAGTATAATGGTTCCTTATTTAAACAAAACTAATTATTGTAATCGTCTATTTTACCCTGCATAAGTAAAATCAGGTCAAGAGTTCTTTATCCCACTGAGACCAAAATTGTTCAGATGTGATCAACTGTTGTAAAGCACAGAATATGAAAAATCTTTGCAATTATTGTCATCAGGTTTGGTCAAACCGCATAGCAGTCCTTCATTCCTGGCACCAGAAGGTGACAGGTTCTTCTCACTGGGACCGGAAAACGCTAAAACTTTCTTCCAGTTCAGCACACCCACCCGAGACAGAGCCCAATCTTTTATCAAGAAAAACGAAGTTTGACATGAGTTTCACTAGGATGCTCGTTTCTTTCACTTATGAATTCTGATTTCAGTTCTAACGGCCAAATATAGTTGTTTCTGTTTAGTTCTTTATGTTCTTTCAAGTTGGTTATTTATTGATAAAGCCGTTACACAGTTTAAAGAAGGTGTTATGCTGTAAATACTCGCAACACGTTTCCACTAATGTAAATGACCTTATTGTGGAAAATAACTCATAATTAAAATATGTGAAAAACTCTACGTAAATGATGTTTATCACCTGTAGGACCTGCCAAACTGACCAGAGTAAGACTGGGATTTATTTATTTTTTCATTTTCACAACCCAAATATGAAAGACCGCAGCACAATCGTAACAATGACACCAATCAACAAACAAGTGGAAAATTAAAAAAGGGAAATGATTTGAAAAAAAAAATATATGTACAAAGAGTTTTCCTGTCCTCACAAACAGGAACAGCACAGAATATATACAAACTGGAAAAACACTACCCTCATTGATCTCAGTGTTCTCACTGTACGTCCTCTCTCTGGGTTTTCATTCACTTTGTGGTTTGTAAGTAACAAAGGCTGCACTTTGGCTTTTCATCACCTGTCTTTTCCCATTGACTATAAGGAGCAAGGGAGAGTCCACACGTATACTTCGGAAGTCATATGACTGTATAGGGAGAAGCAAAGAAGAAACATAAAAACATCGTATTTATTACACCTATTGTAATGCAAAAAATAAGCACTTTAAATTTACAATTGGGTTATTATAACTGTGGCCACAGATAACAGCTGCAAACATGTTTATATTTGCTTGATTGTGTAAATACAGTACACTACCGTTCAAATGTTTGTGGTCAAGAAGTAAATATATTTTCAAAGAATTTAAGTATGCATTAAATTGATCAAAATACTGTTCTTTTGGACTTTCTATTCACTAAAGAATCCTGAAAAAATAAATAAAGTACCATGTTGTGACAAACTATTAGGCAGCACAACAGATTTCAACATTGATAATAAGAAATGTATCTTCAGCACCAAATCAGCATGTCACAATATTACTGTTTTTTTTTTACTGTATTTTTGATAAAATAAATGCAGCCTTGGTGAGCATAAGGGATTTCCTTGGAAAACATTTTTAAAATCTTAATGACCCCAAAATTTGGAATGGTAGTGTAAGCGGAGATATAAAACTTTAAAGTAGAATGAAAAGTTGTTTTTACAAACCTTATCTTTATGTGTTACGCTGTGCCGTTTAACCTGTGGTTCAGGAATGACTACAGTATCGCCTATTAAAACACCCCAGCTGTCTGCTGTATTATACACCATGACTACACAACAGGTCTCATCACTGTCCACCATGCCAAATGTGCTGCAAGACAAAAACAAGAAAACCATTTTAAAAATAAAAACAATACAATCAGCAACCATTTAGATATACAGTGGGTACGGAAAGTATTCAGACCCCCTTAAATTTTTCACTCTTTGTTATATTGCAGCCATTTGCTAAAATCATTTAAGTTAATTTTTTTTCCTCATTAATGTACACGCAGCACCCCATATTGACAGAAAAACACAGAATTGTTGACATCTTTGCAGATTTATTAAAAAAGAAAAACTGAAAAATGCTCAGTATTTAGTAGAAGCACCCATTTGATCTAATACAGCCATGAGTCTTTTTGGGAAAGATGCAACAAGTTTTTCACACATGGATTTGGGGATCCTCTGCCATTCCTCCTTGCAAATCCTCTCCAGTTCTGTCAGGTTGGACGGTAAACGTTGGTGGACAGCCATTTTTAGGTCTCTCCAGAGATGCTCAATTGGGTTTAAGTCAGGGATCTGGCTGGGCCATTCAAGAACAGTAACAGAGTTGTTGTGAAGCCACTCCTTCGTTATTTTAGCTGTGTGCTTAGGGTCATTGTCTTGTTGGAAGGTAAACCTTAGTTCCAGTCTGAGGTCCTGAGCACTCTGGAGAAGGTTTTCGCCCAGGATATCCCTGTACTTGGCCGCATTCATCTTTCCCTCGATTGCAACCAGTCGTCCTGTCCCTGCAGCTGAAAAACACCCCCACAGCATGATGCTGCCACCACCATGCTTCACTGTTGGGACTGTATTGGACAGGTGCCTGGTTTTCTCCACACATACCGCTTAGAATTAAGGCCAAAAAGTTCTATCTTGGTCTCATCAGACCAGAGAATCTTATTTCTCACCATCTTGGAGTCCTTCAGGTGTTTTTTTAGCAAACTCCATGCGGGCTTTCATGTGTCTTGAACTGAGGAGAGGCTTCCGTCGGGCCACTCTGCCATAAAGCCCCGACTGGTGGAGGGCTGCAGTGATGGTTGACTTTCTACAACTTTCTCCCATCTCCCGACTGCATCTCTGGAGCTCAGCCACAGTGATCTTTGGGTTCTTCTTTACCTCTCTCACCAAGGCTCTTCTCCCCCGATAGCTCAGTTTGGCCGGACGGCCAGCTCTAGGAAGGGTTCTGGTCATCCCAAACGTCTTCCATTTAAGGATTATGGAGGCCACCGTGCTCTTAGGAACCTTAAGTGCAGCAGAAATTTTTTTGTAACCTTGACCAGATCTGTGCCTTGCCACAATTCTGTCTCTGAGCTCTTCAGGCAATTCCTTTGACCTCATGATTCTCATTTGCTCTGACATGCACTGTGAGCTGTAAGGTCTTATATAGACAGGTGTGTGGCTTTCCTAATCAAGTCCAATCAGTATAATCAAACACAGCTGGACTCAAATGAAGGTGTAGAACCATCTCAAGGATGATCAGAACAAATGGACAGCACCTGAGTTAAATATATGAGTGTCACAGCAAAGGGTCTGAATACTTAAGACCATGTGATATTTCAGTTTTTCTTTTTGAATAAATCTGCAAAAATGTCAACAAATCTGTGTTTTTCTGTCAATATGGGGTGCTATGTGTACATTAATGAGGAAAAAAAATTAACTTAAATGATTTTAGCAAATGGCTGCAATATAACAAAGAGTGAAAAATTTAAGGGGGTCTGAATACTTTCCGTACCCACTGTATCCAGTAACCTTCTAGTTTTCATAGTAAATATTTATAGAGGTTGTTAATGCGGCAGAGGCATTTAAACTCACAAGGCCATACGGCCCTCTGAGGCCAGGCTGAAGACCACTTTTCCTAGCGCTGCCACCCCACCGTTGTGGCCATGAGTGAGAGAGGATAAGCTGCGGGGTTCAAGGCTCCCCACGCGGCCTGAGGGAGACCGGAACTGAGGGGAGGAGCACGGGCCCAAAGCGGAGGTACTGAGTGAGGAGAGCATGTTGCGAAGACGCCGAGCTTTTACTTTTCCCTGAAACACAGAGCGAGTGGGGTTAATGTGATTTCTTATGGACCTCCAGAATATTGTTTTGACTGCACTCTACTTCCATCTCCTGGAAACAACCCAAAATATCAAACAAACAACCTTTTCGATGGGATTTTACACAATCAACAGAACTAAATAAAGCTCTGTGCTGCTATCAAATGTATTTAGCCAATGTTTTTTTTCAATAAAATAATCATATACACTGTAACAGCTTTGTTTCCAAATGCCAAAAAAAAACAAAATGAAGATGTGGTGTTAATTTAACACACTTTTGTAAAACCAGACGGTCAATTCACAGTGAAAGAGTCCAATTATGTAAATAATATGATTTACACACTAATTCAACAGAAACTCCAGTACAATATGCAGATTTTGATCATCATTATCCGCACCTGACAGCGATTGGCTGCCATCTTCCATTTTTCACTTGACGTTTGAGAAAGTGGAGTAAACATTCTCAGATGCTCTCGACACTTCTGTTGTCAATAGCTCGGCTCCCATAGAAATAAACTGAAAATGCCTGTTCCACGCCAGTGTAAACCGCAAAAGTTACAATGACATTGTTCATTTCTCTCACCTTATTCTCCATTAACATTGTAACCTGGTCTAGGTAATTTAGCAGCTGTTTTGCTCTCTCCCGAGCATCTTCCCAGCCAGGATCCAGAGCTGCAGCACGGCTGTATCCATCCAGAGCTGAGCTGTGCATCTCCTCATACTGAAACAACTGGTGACAGAAAGGAGTTTCTTAGGTCTGCTTCACACAGTGGAAGTGCAACAGCAGGCTGTTTACCAGTTTAGAATATATATAACAAAGTGGATAAGATGCTGGTTTTACTGTGACACATTTGCTGGTGCACACCCACCAGTTTGAAAAAGCAACTGAAAGAATTGTTACCGTAGCTCTGTTGAAGTGGAGGTCAGGGTTCATTGAGGATGCTTTGTCGATTTTCTCCTGTAAATATGCACAGATAAAACGATAAGGTAAAAAGATGACAACCAGCTTTAGCGAATTAATATTAAACATACAAATGTTTAGGTGAGACAAAGAGGAAATACTCACAGCCTGTGCATAGGCACTGAGGGCTTGTTGAGAGAGCTGTGGGTTTTGTCCACTGGTAAAAAACATGGAGATATACGCGTTCCCTAAAATATCTGTTGGGTCAAAGCAAATCAGTATAAAATAATTTATTCCAATTTTCTTTTCAATATACCAACATTATAAACCGTCTCTATTCAGAAATGCTGTTAGGAATCAAGCTGTGTCCTGATCGACAGCATGGATATCTGTAGGAGTTCACTTCACTTGACAAAAGCATTCATTTGGATTAAATTTCACTTAAAAAGCACAGTTCACCCTCATGTCGTTTCAAAACTGACTGACTTTCTAAGATACTACATTTTGAAGAATGTTATAAACAGTTAGAGAACCAAAACTACTTGGTTACCAACATTCTTCAAAATATCTTCTTTTATGTTCCATGGAACAAAGAAAGTCATATAGGTTTGGAAAGACATGAGGGCAATTAATTAATCACAGAATTTCTATTTTTTGAAGAACTATCCCTTTAAAATAGCGGAATAAACTTCATTTTGGTCCAAATACATTTGACAGGATATTCCACTAGGAACACACCTAATGTGTCCTTTACTGCAATAGCCGTGTAATATACTCACACCATGAAGTCCCATCAGTGACATCGAGTTGCACGGCCTGCCTGGCCAGCTCCACGCTCTCCAGAATGCGTTTGCTCTGCTCCTGTGCATCTTCTTCTGGTGGCAGCTGTCGCAGCACCATAGACAGGCTTCTCAGAGACACTTTATTCTTACTCTGGATGAAGATGAGACACCAAGAGTTCATCTCTGAGCTTCGTGAGCAGTACCATATCAAAAGAGACAGACATCCTAAAAGATATTGGGTCTCATTCACTGTTATTTGCATGGATCATTGCTTATATGTTATGTGCATTATTTCTTTGCACAACTTCTGACTAATTCATAATTTCATCACTCTTCAGCAAACATAATGCTCTTTAAAATCAAGCTCTCACCTGAGCGCATGCAGCAAGAGCCTGTGCCTTCCTCAAAACCAGTTCAAACACAAACATCTTTTGTACAGACCTCTCATTACAACTGTTATACAGAGAAACATAGCAGCTTGAGCTATATTGTATATGATGAAATATATTTAAGATAAAATAAAATTTCATCTTAACATGGTAATAGGCGATTATAATATTGATTATACCACGGTTATGCACATTTAATGAATGAGACTAGGGCTGCACGATAAATCGAAATGGAATCGAGATCGCGATTCGACAGAAGCTGCGATTGTCATGCGTATCTTTCAGTGAAGCACGGTTCTGTGATCAGCAGTAAATCTCCATCCAAAGGCCAGAGGGCGCTCTCGCGCTGAAACTCCAAATACACCTCACAGAAGAAACCCAGGAAATGCCTATCTGCAGCTGAACAAACAAAAGATTCAACTGCTTTCATTGATTCAACGTGACTAATAAACACACGACTACGGTGCTGATTACAGAACCGGCTTTACTAACAAATTGCGCATGACAATTGCATTCGATTAATCGTGCAGCCCTAAATGAGACCCATTGTTCTTGGCTATAATAAAGACTCACCTGCTGTAGTGCACCTGTGAAGCAGGTCTTGGCCGCTGTCAGGTCTCCTTTTTTCCAGTACTGCTCTCCCAGAGTGTTCCAGCCCTCAACCAAACCTGGTTCCAGTTTAACAGCCCGGGACAGACACTCCTCTGCAGTCTGACTGAACCCCGGAGCGACGTTCAGACACCGACCCCGTTGCAGCAGGAACTGAGCGCTGTGTTTGTACAAATCTGTTGAAAGTAAATAATTAATAAAATAATACCAATACTCTTGTGGAATTTTTAATGGTGCTGAGACAATAATAAAGGATTCTGGTGTATTTTCTATCAACATATTTTTAAATTAATTGTCAGAATATATTTTATTAAACATTAAAATTTCTTTGCCATAAAAATTTGTGGAACACAAAGAAATCCCCACCTTCTTTTTCTTCCAGTCTCTTAAGTGTCTTTGCCATTTCTTGAGCAACATCATTCTGTTTCCTACCAGCATCTTCAACACTGTGTGTCTCAAAGTAACGGTCCCTAAAGGAGTAAAGATCATCTACCAGCTCCTGTGACAGAAACATGCTATTATTAAACAACTGCACATTTGATCTTTCTCAAAACTCAAAGAGATTTCTTGCATTAAAGCAATAGTTCAGCCAAAAATAAGTTATTTTATCATTTCATCCCCAGTCAGCACTCACTTGCATTGCACCCTTTTTAATAAAATGAAAGCAAATGGTGACTGAGGTCTCTTTTTGCATTTGCATAAAAAAAGAAAGTTAAAGAGATTCTACTTTACTGCTGCTTTCGCTTTCAAAAACGTACAATTGTACCTAAATCTTCTTTGAAAATGTTAGTAGTAACTGCAGTGAAGAAAACAACTCTAGTTAAAGGGGTCATATGATGCGATTTCAATTTTTCCTTTCACACGAGATGAAAAATTATGAAAGCTTCTTACGCTGTTTAAAGAAGAACTAAAATTAATTTATTATAGTTTTACAGTACAATAAGTGTCTCTTGCAGTGAGAGGTGAATGATGGGTAAAACAAGCATCACACGACATAATGGAAAGCACATTAGGTTAACACGATCAGGCTACACTGCGCAGAGTTTAATAAAAGACATTCAGATGCTACTTGTTCCAGAAAGCTGTTTGTTCTCCGTTGTTACAATGCAGTGTATCAGTTGTTATAGTGACAGACGCTGCAGCAGCCATGTGTTCATCGACAACATCTGAGTGCTGTATATTTATTTTTACCTCACCAAAAGACAGAGGGAAATGAAAGAGTGAGTTCAAACCTTTAACACTTGCAAGTGATCTTTGTCTGTTGTTTTCTGCTCCCCATCATCAACCTCGGCCATCTTTAACATGTAAAGCAGGACCCGAGCGAGCGTGATAAACACAGACGAGTGTGTTTGGGCGCCTCCTATTGGTCAGGAGACGAACTGTTTTTTTTGACCAAATGTTTACTTTGTGACACAAAATCTTGGTAGAAGGAAACTATTTTGGACATTGGCAAATCTATTATCCATTTTGTAGTATTATTTATATCCTAAAATATTTTTACACTTACTACAGGAAATCACAGCAAAGCACCTGTTTGGAAAACGTCAATAAGAAAGTGATTTTTAATTTTTACGGGTTTTTTTTGTATGCAACCATCTCAAACCAACAAATAAATAAACAAAAAAAATAAAAATAATAATAATATATATATATATTTGCATTACTATAAATAAATAAATAAAAAAATAAAAAATAAAAAAAAACTTTTTGGCCGAAATGTAACGCTGATAAAAGTTTTTCAAAGAAGCTGCAAACAGCGAATGAAATGGGAAATGGGAAGTAATGCACCTGTTCTGTATATTGTAATGTGAAGATGTTTTGATATGGCCAAGTTGTTTGTACATTAATGATTGTTCAATAAAAAATAAAAAATAAAAAAGGGAAGTATAAGTGCGCATGCGCATATGATCACACGCAGTCATGAGACTCTCTTGAAACACCGGTTACGATTTTTCGATGATCTTGTAGTGGCAATGGTGTTTTTATCTTTCTTTCTCGGTTTACTGCTCATGACGGTCTCTGAAAACGATGCAGCCGAGAGGATTCAAGCTTTCGTCATTCCTCACAGTCATATGGATGTTGGCTGGGTGTACACGGTCCAGGTAAAACGCAGACATTAATGGCTTGTATGTTTCCTAAGTGGAGCTATCATCATCAGTGTTGTCAACCTTCTCTGTTGTAGGAGAGCATGCATGCATACGCCAGCAATGTGTACAGCAGTGTAGTTGAAGAGCTGTCACGAGTCAAAAGCCGCAAATTCATCGCAGTTGAACAGGAGTTTTTCCGACTCTGGTGGGTGAATGTGGCAACAGATTGGCACAAGAAACAGGTAAGGACTTACAAATATCTTATTAGATGTTTTAGTAGTTTTAAGTAGTACGCGATGAAGGTAAATCAGTTAAATTATTGTTTAAGACAGAGATTTTCAAACTGGAGCAGCATGGGAAAACAGTGTAGAATTGTTCAAAAAGTTAAATTAAATAAGTAAATAGGTTTTTTTTTTTTTTATAAAATAAATCAATAATTAAACCTAACAGTACAATACCATAGTAAGTAGAAAAAAATAATAATGTAATATATAATAGAAAATAAATAATTTCCAAATTATATTTGACATATATTTATAATGATATAAATACATTTTTTCATAGTATAAATCGGGTGTTTTTATGCATGAAAATATATAGCTGCTTTTTCAGTTTTGGGATGGGGTTCGTACAAGTATGATCACGTTTGGGGTTTGTGGCATCTGAAAAATAAACAAATAAATTAATTAATTAACAGGTTTAAGGTGACTTGTTTTTATATGTCCTCATTTATTGTCCTCATTTGTAAGTCGCTTTGGATAAAAGCGTCTGCTAAATGACTAAATGTAAATATATGTCAGGTGAGACAGCTGCTAAAAGAGGGTCGTCTGGAGTTCATAATCGGGGGTCAGGTGATGCATGATGAAGCAGTGACAGATGTAGATGATGCCATTCTTCAGCTCACAGGTGCGTGAGCTGTATCTTTACAAATACAGTACCATAGTGCTGAATGACTACCATATTTATGTAACATGTTATTTACACATTACTTTAAATAATGCTATGTTAAATAGTGTTAACACGTTGCATGTAGTTATAGATCTTCTTATCTCCCTCTCTTTCTCTCTCTCTCTTCTTCTGGCTTGTAGAGGGACACGGCTTCTTGTATGAGACTTTTGGTGTTCGGCCACGTTTCGGATGGCATGTTGATCCGTTTGGTGCATCAGCCACCACCCCGGTCCTCTTTGCACTTGCGGGGTTTGACGCTCACCTCATCTCTCGCATTGACTACGACCTTAAAGATGACATGCAGAAAAACAAGGTTGTGCTTTTGCATCATTGGTTTGGTAAAACACATTTATAATACAGCTGTGCATGTGAGGTTTTTGGAATAAATGCTGCTTACATTATGATTGGTACATGTAATAATATTACATCTGTATTTGTAGAAATTGCAGTTTGTGTGGAGAGGTTCACCATCCTTAAAGGAAAAACAAGAGATATTCACACACACTATGGACCAGTTCAGTTACTGCACACCATCGTATCTCCCCTTCTCTAACAGGTGACGCCCAGTAATTTTTTTTATTATTATTATTATTTTTTATTTATTTTGTAACACCTCAATTGTGATTTTTGTTTAGCATGAAGATCTAGAAAGTTCTATTAATTTATACACTATTATTCAACATTTTGGGGTCAGTAAGATTAAAGGCAGGGTATGTGATTTTTCAAAAACACTTTAGAAAACTGATTCGGGCCGAATCTTAACAAGGATGCATTAATTGATCAAAAGTGACTGTAAAGACATTTATAATGTTCCCAAAGAAAGCTGATTTTTTAACTTTCTATTCATCAAAGAATTCTGAAAAAAGAAATAAATTACTATTTTAAATATATTAAAGCAAAAAAAGTTTTATATATCATAATATTTCATAATATTAAATTTTCCACTGTAATTTTGAGTAAATAAATGTAGCCTTGGTGAGCATAAGACTTCTTTCAAAATATTAAATATTCTTACCATCCCCAAACTTTTGTTATAAACAAACTTTTATATATATATTAAAAAAAAAAAAAGTTTAAATTATTCTATGTAAAAACAAAAAGCATTAGAACAAAAAAAAAAAGTTTGAGCATGCTGTTATATTGATGGTAATTGTGCCCAGGTCTGGGTTTTACTGGAATGGTGTCGCTCTGTTTCCGGACCCTCCTAAAGATGGCATATACCCCAACATGAGTCTGCCAGTGACCAAAGAAACTGTAGAGCTTTACGCACAGACCATGGTGGACAACATCAAACAGAGGGCCCAGTGGTTCAGAACCAGTCATGTTCTCTGGCCTTGGGTCAGTTCAGCTCCATCATACCACAGGCTAACACATACAGTACAGTATTTCTTTTATATATTCACTAACTCGTACAGTATTACAAGGGTATGTTGTATTTACAGGGTTGTGACAAGCAGTTCTTCAATGCATCAGTGCAGTTTATGAACATGGATGTTTTAATGAACTACATTAACACACACAGTGACAAGTATGGAGTTGCAGTGCAGTATGCCACGCTACAGGACTATTTCCAGACAGTGCACCAAACAAATCTGTCCTGGGATGTGAGAGGAAACCAAGACTTCCTTCCTTACTCAACAGGTTTACAATTTGGATATTATAGCTACTTCTATAATTGTGATGAACCCTTTGCATATTCTGTGATGATACACTACACTTTGTGTTTTATTACCATGCATTAAATTGCAAAAGAATATTTAACGCTGCTGTGTGAGTGTTTCTAATATAATGACAGTGACAGTGACATTTTTCTCTCTTCCGGCCAATGTAATCAATTTCTCAAACCCCCCCCTCTTTTTAGAAATGCTAATGTGGATTCTGAGAACCCTGGAAATGTCAAAAGTGTCCATTAGTGTTTCACTGCATTTCTGAAAAACAAATGGTCCTGAAAATTTTTAGAAATGCTAATGTGGATTCTGAGAACCCTGGAAATGTCAAAAGTGTTCATTAGTGTTTCACTGCATTTCTGAAAAACAAATGGTCCTGAAAAGTCTTTCATCCTCATTTTCCAGAACCGTTTCAGGCATGGACGGGGTTCTATGGGTCCAGAAATGTTCTGAAAGGAGTAGCTAGACGAGCGAGTTCCCTCCTGTATGCAGCAGAGTCTCTCTTCACTAGATACCGTATCAGCTACCCAGATGGTCCAGTTCAGAGAGAATGGGCTCTAGACAAACTCAAGGCCCTGCGATGGGCTGTCTCAGAGGTGCCTGGTTTTAAACATCTGTTTATGCCACAACCATTTCCTTTTGAGCAGCATGGAATTTACAATTTTATTTTATTTAGTTGCAATGATGGAAAATGTAATTCATTAATGTTTATCTGATCAAATCTTTCTCTCATGAACTTTCTCTTATGATTCAGGCCCAAATCTAACATGACCCTGCTAAGGCAGTAATAATGTGTGTATGACTAGAAATCGACTGGTCATTATCTCATCTGATTTGCACCAGGTTCAGCACCACGATGGCATCACAGGGACAGAATCCCCTAAAGTGGCTGATATGTACATGGAGCATCTCATGCAAGGCATGATGGGAGCTGAGGAGCTCTTGGCAGCCATATTCTTACTTCCACAAACCCTTGAACTTTCCAACGACATCCATCACACGCCCCAAACCAGATCCACCACAGTGAAGACCGGTACATTTCTTTATTTATATTCTCTGAATCTTTCTTCTCAGCACGTGGATCTATATTCTCTGTTCAGATCTGATCTTTTCCTGTTAATTGAGCAGTGAAATGTGAAATGCATTATATTTATATTTGATTTAAAAAAAAAAAACTAAAAATATATTTTTTAAAAATTTAATTAAATAATTGATTATAATTTATATTGAAATAAAAATACATTTTAAAATATACCTGGATTAAATATACCAGCAGCCAACAAGATATGAGTAAAGGCCTGTTCACACCAAGAACGATAACTATAATGATAACTATTATAATAACTATATTAGCATCCACACCAATGCACAATAACTTTCTGTTCATTGTAAGCACATGCTGCAGTTTCTGCCAGTCATCTGCCACTTGCTCAATGCTTGAGCTCTTTAAAGCAGGATGAATTCTGGATGAATTCTGATTGGCTGTAAAAGTTATTTCATTGATATTGTTCCTTTATGTCATTATTATTACAGTTATATTAAAACGTACTATAACTAAGTTAAGTTTAAATGTAATATATATATATATTGTTTTTTTGATAGACAAACAAAGTTGGCTTGTGCTTTTTAGCCTCTTCTCTTGATTTTCTTGATTTTTATTTTTAGATATCTTATTAAAATCAATTGATAATGTAGACAGATAATATTGACAGTTTAAGTTCATTTTAATTATATTTTCAGTCTAATTGCCAGCATTAGTAGTTATCAATCTTAAAATGTGAAGTAAAGTTTGATTGATCAAAGGTTATATTGTCTAACAAAGGTTTTGTTGTTGTTTCAGACTCCGGAAATGTTCTTGAACAGCATATCATCGTGTACAACCCACTTGCCTGGAACATTTCAACATATATTAATATTTCTGTGGCATACGCAATGGCAGTTGTGCTTGACGATGATGGAAAGGCAGTACCTGCTCAGGTTGCAAAACATATTTTTTCTGTTGATCTCATTCATTGCTTCTGTCATGACATGCAGTTGTTTCAGTTAATAACAGACTCAATAATTAACTGCAGATCCAGCAATCGATGGAGTCTTCCACTGTCTACGATCTGTTCTTCGTTGTTGAGCTGGGTGGACTGCAGTACAGAAAGTACATTGTGCAGTTCCCACAATCCCACTGTGACACTGGATCTGCCTGTGGGGCGACTCATGTGGCCAGAGTAGTGACATTTAAAAAGAAGAATGTGAGTCAGTGGAAGAGGACGGGTAGGAAGTTGTTACCAGTGCTGAATGAGTGCTACAAACTGATGTTTGACCAAGAGACAAACCTTCTGCACAGCATCACAGACCGGCAAGTTCTCCTTCAATATGCATCAGATTGCAACAGTTATGTCCAATGGGACATTTCAATTGAATTTCTGACCTAGTCTATCCATTATAGGTGTGAAAAGATGAGAGTTAGAGTACAGCAGGATTTCTGGGAGTATGAGGCCAATGGGGACGTCCACTCCGGGCCGATCTCAGACAACTACATCTTTACTGCCAGCGGCTCAGCTATTCCTGCATACAAATCTGTGGCCATGGAGATTGTGCCAGGGAAGGTAGTCTCAGAGATACGCCAGTATTTCTACAGGTAAAAGAAAAAGTGTTTCTTGATATCCTGAATCTATTATGTCTGTCTGCTTCTAGGGTTGTTGTTCACTCTAAAATACAAGGCAGCAATTTAAAATGCAACCTTTATTTAAAGTAGAGATGACAAAAAAATTCTAGTCAATTTGATAAGCCCATAATTAATTTTATGTTAGGGCTGATGTAATGTACAGAATGAGGAAAATAATGCGTTTTTTGAACCTTAAACCGCATAAACACACTTCATTACACCAAATACACCAAATAATGTTCTTTTTAGCAGCATCATATGACCCCTTTAAAGTCAACTTGAAATTAAAATTAAAAATCTATTTTCTAAATGTATGTTATTGATCTTATTGTGAGCAATTCATCCATGCATATGTTTTCATATATTTAAATCAAAATGTCATAACTATGTCATAACCTAAGAATAAGAATACTTACTGGTCACATAAACCAGACTTCTTCAATCATTTAGTCTGCTTAAACCCTACCATGATCATCTGCAAGCTTGCTTTTTTATGACTGCAATGCCCACATCTCAAGCAATTAACAACCGATAGACAAAGCCAGGCTCCTCCTAGCATACATGGTTTTCTTTTTCAATAATCTGTTAATCTCTGATGTACACCACAATATAAAAGAAAAAAACTCTGGTGCTATGCCTGTTTCATTGCAACTTTAAACACCACTCACATTTTCTCCAAAAATCTAGCAATAGTTCTCAGTCCTAAAAGTGTGAGTGTTCTCTCTGCAGAGAGGAAGAAGACAAGAACCACACTTACTCGGTGGTCACCAGAGTGCCGGTGGGGTTTGAGGGTCGGCTGGCATGTTTCAGACTGGAGCAGAGCTATAAAGTGGGCCCCCTAGAGATAAACAGAGAGACCGTGTTCAGAACCCGCACGAGTCTGAAGAATAACCGAACACTGTTTACTGATAACAACGGCTATCAGATGATGAAAAGGACATATAAGACCTTTGTGAACAACACAATCGCCCGTGTAAGGTTGCTTTACACCTAAAATTCATAAATCATACCAGTTTTCAGATATTAAGAGATATGCTTATTATACATCTGTTGTGTTTACATGCACAGAATTACTACCCAATGGTACGAGCGGCCTACATACAAGATGATTCCAGCAGAGTTGTGTTCCTCGGTGAAAGAGCTCATGGAGTGGCCAGTCTAAGTCAGGGTCAACTAGAAGTGAGGGCTTGCATTTGCCTTTCACACATACTTGGCACTGTTGTGTCAATCTCAAGCCTTACTGAGCTGTTTTCTGTGTATTTGTATTCTGTGCATTGTGTGTGTGCATCAGGTGATGCTTCATAGACGGCTTTGGAATAACCAGGAGTGGAATCTGGGTTATAATCTGACTCTTAATGACTCGTCTGTGGTGAGGCCCGTTCTCTGGATGATGCTGGGCTCGCCTTCTGCATTGTCATCTATCTACCAACAGGAGGCACTAGAGCTGCAGCACAGACCTGTGGTTATGCCCATTGACCAACCCCGTGAGTTTGCAGACACAGGCATTGCTCGACTAGTTTTAATTTCAGTCTCAGTTCCTCTTAAAAGTTTATTACATTCAGTGTTAACCATCTATTGAGTAACAATAGGCAACCCAATAATAGGCAACATACTGTAGCGTACCCTCCATTTATCTTTAATCCAAATGCTTGCCATTACTAATGTACAACTACTGACAAACAGGTACAATTTAAATTTATATAAAATAAAAAGTTGTCAGTTAAAAATAGAAATTCCCTCCATTGGCCCAGTACCAAGGTTATTACTAAAGCAATAAGCCCCAAGAAGCCGTGGTTTACAGTGAATTTATAACCGCTAAGGGGCGGGCGGAGTGCCTAAAACTACCTTAGCTGTTATAAATTCACTGTAAACCACGGCTTCACGGGGCTTATTGGTTTTATAAAACGGTTATTCCATATACGTAGTAAGGTTTCACAAAATAAAACAGAGCAAATAAAGTGTAATGATATTAATAAAAACAGTATTCTTCCACCAAACAATGTAGTTCCTCAGAATCAGTTGTGGTTGCAACAAAGTGGTTGCCAAGCAACAGACAAACGTAAACAAAGGTGTATGTTTGTTGAGTAATTTACAACCGCTTCGAACGTGGCTCAGCCAATCAGCCAATCAGAATCAAGGACCGGAACTATTCGTTTTATAAAGTAAACTAAACTACAGTCATACAGATGTACAGTATATTACTTGAAATATAATAAATTAGAAAAAAAAATATTTTTCTGCTAAGGAAACATGTCTCATTTTTTATTTTATTTTGACATCATTTTAATATGATGTACTAAAATAACTAAAACTGAAATGAAAACTACATAGTCATATTAAAATATACTAATAAAATGACAAAAACAACAAAATTACTAAAACATTTAACTGAAATTAAAATGAAAACATAAAAATACAAACTAATTCAGAATATTGAAAGAAAGAAATACTGAAATAACACTGCCCAGTACATCTTTCCTTAAAATGTGGAAGCCCTTTTTAACATACATACGGACTCGTGCATCATCATCCAGATGACACAGATTTATAGAATTTTGTTTGTACTTAGTGCACCTACTATTTTATTTCTGTTTGTACATTAAAACGCTTTACCTTCTTGTATTATTTATTTTATTAGATTTTCATTATTACCTCCCTTTTGTCTGAAATGTTCTTGATTTTCTTGATTGATCTTGTATGTATCATAAAAAATGATAAGAAAATCATTAACAAAAGTTGTCAATTGAGCAAAAATGTGAAGTAACAGTGCTTTACCTAAAGTGTACTGAACAACAATAACATTTCTTTTCCATATTTGTGTGTTTTGTACATTTTGGTAAGCAAACAGAGACAAAGAAATGTAAACTTTTCCCTTGCACAGAAAAGCCGTGGAATCAGAGAGAGAAATTTAGTGGGCCGTTTGTTCAGCCGGTTGTGGTGCCCCAGAACCTCCACATGCAGACCCTCAGCATCCCTGGCTGGAACTACAGTCCTGATCACACCCAGCACCTCCACAGTCTCAACTTAGGCAGGCCACAATATACTGTACACAACAAAACTGACAAAACAATAATGTTTCATAACAGTTATGTGAATCAGGATTTGATGGAGAGAGTCAGGGTGAAGTATAAATTCTGCTTATAACCAGAAGCTATATTCAAAATGTATATATTGTTTTTCAAGGTGGAGAGAGAAAGTCTGAGATAGACTTTGACCGTATTCTTTTGAGAATCACACACCTGTATGAAGGGGGAGAAGACCCAGTCCTATCACAACCCACCGTTATTAACCTGAAGGTACATTTAATCTATTTATTTTTGATGTTTTTATTAGTAGAACATTGGTTGATTTATTAAGCATCACCACTTGACAGTAAATTCATACATGCATTCATTAAAGGGGTCATATGATGTTGCTAAAAAGAACATTATTTTGTGTATTTGGTGTAATGAAATGTGTTTATGCGGTTTAAGGTTCAAAAAACACATTATTTTCCACATACTGTACATTATTGTTTCTCTTCTATGACCCGCCTTTCTGAAACGCGTCGATTTTTACAAAACTCATCGGTCTGAAAAACGAGGTGTGCTCTGATTGGCCAGCTATCCAATGC